TCTGTGGGCATGATACTTTTTACCTCCCTCTCCAATGGGCAGGGTCAGTCACTCAGATATGGTACAGCAGGACAGGTCCAACTGAAGGGGAGTTGCTGGGATGTGTTGTTTGTGGCACATAGCAGGGCTGACAGTGTGGACCGGGAATCAGTGCAGGGCAGGTTCCAGTAGGCCATGCCTGTGTTGCTTGGGAGTATGATGTACAGTGCACAGTGCAGGTAGGCAGGAAGGAGGGTGTAGATTGTGATGTGTGGAGCTAAGATAGGTAGGGGAAAGATGAGAGAGGAGAGAAGAACAAGAGCCAAAAACATACACACAAAAAAGAGTGCTAAGGGAAATTGCTATTGGAGTGGAGAGATGACAGACTGAGGAACGGGGAAAAACAAAAATGAAAAGAAAAAAAAAATGAAGAGACTTCCGGCAATGCGGCACTCTAAGCATAAGCACCACGCCGTCCCTCCACAGCAAAGATCCGAAAAACTAAGCCAAACAGAGAAGACAGCAATCCTGAAACCCTAAACATCAAATGAAGAGATAAAGAACTCAGGCAAGCACCAAAATGGATGAGAAACTGACAGAGAACAGAGAGCAAGCAGACATACATGGAGAGGTCCCCTATCAGCTTATGCAGCATGGCACCATCTTGGACTCCTATCAGAGACCAGAAAATACGGGGTATGAGAAAGCAGCTTCACAGAGCTTCCAGCAGGAGACAGAACAACTGGTAACTGGTGATATACACTTTCCCACCCTCCACCCTTCTTCACCCCCACTCGGCCTCCTCTGTTTCCTGTGGCCAAGTCTCTTGGCCGGGAAGCACCGGCTGCTTGGATTCCACCCGCCCCCACTGGCCGACTCCCTGAGTGCCATTTGTTGGCTGCTGGTGTTGCTTTTTCCCACTTCTTTTGATTTCTCCCTTACCTCTCACCACCTCCCCCTCCTTTCGCTCAAATACCTGGCTCCGTGTGCCATCTTTCCTTCTTCCTGAGGGGCTGTGGAGCTCCGTTTGAATGTGGAACTGCTTCCCAGTCTGTGCTGCCATGCTGGTGGGATTCCGGGGCTTTTGTTTGTTTGTTTGCTTTGAATTGTTTGTTTGTTTTCTTTTTCTTTTCTCAAATTGGTCGCCTGTTCTGGCTGGCAGTGCTGCACAGCTTGCGACCTACCCCCTCAGCTTGTGCAGACGTGGGATCCCTGAGGGCATTTCTTTTTTCGTGGTTTTTTTTTTCCTGTTTTTTAGGGGTTTTTTTCTTGTTCCTTTTTAAATTTGTTCTGTTTTCTTTTCCTTCTTTTTCCCTTTTTGTCTTTCTTCATTACTCAGTTTCTCGTCTCTCTATACCTTCCTTCTCTTCCTGTCCCCTGAATACCTGGCGCAGAATACGTCTACGCCTCCTAGCCAGACTGTACTCAACACCTGGGAACAACTTCCCCAGACCTCATAGCTGCACTGGTGGGATACCTGGGAGGTTTGCTGTTCTTTTTTCCTCTTAATTTTTATTTAGTCATTCTTTTCTTTTCTTTCTTCTTCTTCCCCTTTTTGTTTTTCTCCATTTCATACTCTCATCTCTCCACCCCAACAGCAAGCTCCCTTAGCACTCTTTTTTGTTTGTTTGTATG